CTCTATGCCATGTTCCTTTTCAACCCATGACAGCTTAGCTGGTCATATCACTGATTTACTATTTCCTCTACGGGGTTGTTTTTTTTAGGCTGTCCTTATCACTATGCTATCTGCATAAAGCAGCTTCTCACCTTTTCCCATTAGGATCTTCCTATTCACACCGTCCAGCAATGTGATAAAAATCAGCAGACTGAATGCCAACCCTGGTGCAGTTCAACTTTCACTTCAAAAGGGACTTGTCATTCCAAAATATGTTTTGATCACTGTTTAGTGGCACCAGCTGGGGGGCTGGGACTGGCCACTCAAGCCAATATATAGCACACAGCTGCTAAAGTGCCATAGCATTTGGCGCAATTTGGTGCCCCAAATTTCATGGTGTCCTATTCAGCTGCCTGGTTTGCATATTGGTAGGGACAGCTTTGCTGCTAGGTGTTCCTGGGGCAAACTATTGGAAAGTCCTAACGTCTTCAGGTACAAGAGATGGTTTAACAACAGGGATATCTGCTGCTTCTGTGGCTAACTGCTTTTGTGGCATCCAAACTAGAGAAACGCCTCTGTTTGGCCCGACTTACATTTTCTGGTGGAATCTTTCCTACTTTGAATGAGAACAGATTGAACAGCCTTCGTACATGAATAATTGGGTCAGATGATCAGTCATATACCAGGGTGTGAGGTACAGAGAGTTTGGGTTGGGAGGTTTGATCTTGCCATTCTTCCGGGTTAATAGATCTAAGAAGGGATGGATGCTGTTGAAAGGGCTGGCATTCCTAAGCAGACCAGAAATCAGAATTATTTGAACCAGCTGGGTATGAGAATGACTCCAGCTTTATTGTTACCAATCTTTCAGAGAATCTGCAGGAACATGTTTGGATTGTTTTCTGCTTTTCTAGGTCCAAACACTTTGTGCTCCAAAACCACACCAAAATTGTAAGTCACAAAGAGGGAAGCTTTGACTCTGGCAACTGACGAGATACTCAGGGACTTGTGCAAATATGACTCTACCCTCTGTAGTAGGGCAGTGGTCACCTCCCCTCCTCTGAGTCAGGGTGTATCTAGACTACAGAGTTTTGTTGACAAAAGTGGACTTTTGTTGACAAAACTATACCTGCGTCTACACTACTGCTGAGTTCTGTCGACATAATGTCGACAGAACTCAGCAGTTTTGTCGACGCTGGTAAACCTCATTTTACGAGGCATAACGCCTTCTGTCGACAGAGTTTTGTCGACAAAAGTGGACTTTTGTCGACAAAACTATACCTGCGTCTACACTACCGCTGAGTTCTGTCGACATAACGTCGACAGAACTCAGCAGTTTTGTCGACGCTGGTAAACCTCATTTTACGAGGCATAACGCCTTCTGTCGACAGAGTTTCTGTCGACAGAAGGTGTTATTGCATGTAAACTGTCCTTTGCGTCTACCTACCATGTCGACAAAGCAGTTTGCTTTGTCGACAGAACTGAATGTAGTGTAGACGCTCTTTGTCGACAGAAATTTTGTCGACAGTATCTGTCGACAAAACTTCTGTCGACAAAAGCCTGTAGTCTAGACGTACCCTCAGAGAGAAGCCACACCACCTCACTACGTCATTAGCATCGCTGTCTAGTATCAACGGACTTGGTGAATCAGGTGCTTGTGCCCTCACCATCTTGGTGATCTGGAGCACCAGTCTATAAGTGCAAGTGCTCACAGACAATGAGTTTATATGTTCTGGCTCTGAGGCAGGGCTGTACTAACAAGCAGTCTCTAGGCCCACACTCTCAGGACCTAGACTGTGCAGCACAGCACTCAGCCTGTCTTCCTAGCTCTGGCAGATGACAAACGTTTCAGCCTACGGGAGGGAGGCTGCTGTCCCGGAGTTGGGGTTGGCAGAAGGGCAAGAAGGGTACGTGGACCCACCCTACCTCACCAGGTCCCAGCCCAAGGCCCTAACAGTGG